AAAAAAAAAAAAAAACAATGCAATGAATGCAATTAAAAGCAGCTGTAATGGGCATGATGGACAGGGTTACCCGAATGTTACGCAATGAGGGTTCAACATTTCCCCCATCAAGGGATTTCCCTCCGTAACATTTACCTGGATTTAAGGTGAAAGTAAATTGCCCAAATAAATTACTTCTTCCCTAAAGCTTCACCGGTTAATTTTCCATTTCTCTCCTTCCACAACAAAATCAATGCATGCATGGAAAAACAGAAATTTGGCAAAGGAAGGAGCAGCAAGAGCCGAACTTTGCGGTTATGGGAGCAAATGGCAGGTGACGTCGGCACCTGGCAGCCCCATGATCTGCACTCAAAAGCCCGGTGTGCACTGGACCTGCCCTCAGAAACCCTGAAACTGCCCATTTGCAAGTCCCTGAACATTCGTCAAGGAACCAGGCTTATTCCTGCATGGGTTTGGCAGTGTGGCTGCACAAGTGGGAGCAACTCGAGAGGGTGCAGCATCCCCAAAGCTGCGCCGAGGTCTCCGTCCCCAGGCTCCATACCGGCCTCTGATCCAGGGGCACTTGGCACAATCCATTTGCATGACTCAGGATCAGACCTGGGGGTCGAATATCCAGGACAGGAGCACTTATTCCCAGGGGTGCCCAAAGCCTGTGGCAGCGGTGCCGCCATCCCCGCTGCCGGGCAGGGCCGAAGCTCCTTCCTCATGACGCAGCCACCTGAAACCTCCCTGCAGCCCTGCCCAGCTCCGAAGCGATAGCTCTTTATTTGCCCTCCAAACAGGAAAAGCGACTCCCAGCCTGGTGCTTTTATGATTTCTTTTTTTATGCCCAGCCTGGTGCAAGGACTGCCACAGTTATGCGCGCTCCTTAACGCCGTGCGCGCCGCCCGTCCGGCGCACCCGTTTGCTCTGGGGCTCCAGGACGGAGGTTGATCAGCTGCGTCCTGCACTGCCAAGGTAGGAGCCGCCCCGATGCCACAAGCCTGTCTGGGGTGGCGGGAGCCTGTCCTGTGCCGGGGGGCTCCTTTACCTCTGCTCTTTGGACCCCGCGCATCCCAAACCCCTGCAATGCTCAGCCCAGCCCCGTGGTGCTGCCTGCACCTCAGCAGCAGGGTTTGCACCTCTGATTTTCATCCAAAATGCCCAAAATTAAGCTGCTGTGGTCAAACTGGTGATTTTGGCAGTTTGGGGAATGCAGGCTGAGTGACGGGAAGAGCCAGAGACACAAACCCACTGCTTGGCACTTGCAGTTTTCCTTTGCTCCTCTGTTTTAAGGAGAAGGGAATTTTTCCCCCGCAGGTCTCTCCAGCTGAGAGTGGAGCATCGTGACTTGCCGTCAGGTGGCATTTTGCAATCCGAAATGTTTGCAGCTTATTTTGCATAATCCCAGGGGGGAACGTAACAAACCTGTGGTTGCAGATGTGCGCATTGCCAGCAGAATAGAAGGGGGACAAAAAGGGGTTGGTTACTGAAAAAATAAGCAGGGAGGACAGCTGTAAAGAGCAGTGACCGCGAAGAATTCAGAGAGTCTTAAAAATGAAGCAGGGTGAACTGGCATATCCTGCTCTAGCCCAGCCAAGCCAGCACCCCCGGCATCCCAGCCGGGCCAAGCCCTGGGGCTCCGCTCACTTTCTGCTGCTTTGGTTACCTCTGATTTCTTATTTTCTGCCAAATACGTCTAAACATGGCACTTTGGGGTTTTTTTTTGCCCCTCTATTTGCCTGTATCCCCTGGTGATGGCTGTGCCCCTGCTTTCCCCCTCTCCGCAGGGGCCGCGTCACGGCCGCCGGCCCGCCGGGCTCCACGACCCGCGCAGCACCATGCGCCTGGCAGGTAACGGCGGGCGCCGCGCGCTGCTTTCCCCAGCACGGCTCCCCCGGCTCCCTAGGGCTGCTTCTCATCTGCACAACCCCACTCAGGCGCACGCCGCCAACCCTCCACCACCAGTGCCCCCATAAGCTTTTGAAAATATTTCCACAGATTTCAACAGGTTGCATTTTTTCCATGCTCTGGGGCTGGGAGGAGGTGGCCAGGCTTTGCAGGAGCCTTTCACTTGCCATAGGGGTGGATTTTTCCACCACATTCCCATGCAGGCCTGGAACGTTTTGCTCCAATGAGTGTCATTTTTGAAGCCAAGTACCCATCTCGGGGGTGGCAGCAGCTCAGGTGGTGACTGATGGGGGAGCACCAGGCTCCCACGCTGCAAACTGAAGCAATGCTTGGAGTTACAGAGCTTGCCAACTAGCTACCTGAGTTACTTCAACGCGGAGAGGACTATGGATATGCTTCCCCATGGAAAGCGCAGTGCATCTCGGAGGCTCTCCCTGTGCTCTGGAGGTGTTGATTAAGAGATTACGGATTTTTTTAAAGGACATGGAAGGGGCTGCCAGCCGAGCTTCCGAAAGCCTGCAGGGACGCAGGGGTCCTGCTGCCCGGCGGGAGGGTGTCCGGGTGCCAGTTGGGGGGGATGCCCGGGTTGGGGTGGATGGCAGGGTTGGGGTTTCCTCGCTCTCGGGCAGCTCCTCTGCACCCCGGCAGGCGTGATCCGGCTCGCGGCGCTGCTCTTCATGCTGCTCGGCACCTGGGTCATCATACAGACCTACTTCGACCGCAGCTGGAAAACCGTCAGCCTGCGCAGCTGGCTAGGTGAGGGGCCGGCCCGGCGGGGATGCCCCGTCCTGCAGTGCCCTGGGGACCGTGACCGCCCCATCCCCCACTAACCCTGCCCCTTGCCTCCC